ACATTTAACTCCCCTCCTGTGCTCTTTCACTTATGGAGAGGGCAAGAGAGGAACAGCGTTCATCATCAGTGCCTTTTTTTGCGACTGTGGGGCTAAAACAATATAAATACCGGGGGCCTTGAAGGATTGGTGCGCTGCACTCTGACAGTGAGATAGAGTATTGATTCTGAGCGCAGTGCTAAAATTGTCTGCCTTCAGGCCTCCAGGCACACATGTTGGCAGTTCTCAGAGAATGTGAGGCATCCTCTGAAACATGAGAATGCTGTCAGTGATAGCCATGTAGAAACAAAACACCAAACACGGGAGAGCCGCAATTCAGCATTACCTGCTGCCCACTTTAACGTCAACATTATTTCAGTGAGCTGCTACACAGAGAGTCCATTCATCAGAATCAGCTCCGTTCTTGTCTTTTCCTTGAAAAACAAATTTGAGCTCCTACTCCGATGCAATCCGCGAGCGGTGACCTAGGCTCTTAAGCTAACCGGTTCTCATTTAGAAAATGGATGCCATGCTGTCAGGGCAATTTTTACATGATTAAAAAACCCCTAAGACAACCTTGCATTACCTTGGCGCTCCATTAATAATGTACAGGAGGCTGATGGGACTCTAACAGTGTGGAGAGCAGCAAATCATGCCACCTCTATCTCAAATTCATAACCCGCCTGTCTTCTCTTATCCACGCTAAGCACTGTGTTCCTGTGACAAGGTGTGATGCTTGTGAGCCTTGATCAAACCCCAAACTGCAGCTGTTTGGAATGGATTTTAAGTTTCTTCTGGGGTCAGAGGGCACTGCTGACACATGCTGTTTTTTAATGTAGTTAGCATCTTTGAGTCCGGACGATAAAGACACTATCTGTGAGTTTGTGGCTGAGAAGAACAGAAGTTCCTGTGTTAATCTGTAAGAATTTTTTTTTTTTACTGAATTTTTAGGAAACATTTGATTTGTTTTGTTTAGTGATACAGTTTTTGTACATGAATTTGTGCATATTAGGCTTCCTTTACATTGTGTATATTAGTTGTTGGTCCAGAATAACATAAAAAATATATATTTTTATATTTACGCCACAATATATTTACATTTACAGTAATGCCATTGTTGGGTGCATTTCTTTCCAGACCGATTAGATTGCCATTCATCATATCACCAATATTGTGTTGTTGGATGCAGTTCCTTATTAAACCCCTAGATACTGCTAGTTATGAGTTGAGCCGATATTAAAGAACCTATAAATGAATAATACAAACTGAAATACTCAAAACTTTAGGAACAGCTGACAACAACATTTCGGTAGAAACACACACGCACCTCTCACATTTTCATCAGAAAACCTAAAAACCTAGTTCTGGTGTACAGAATTTAGCATAGGATTGTTTTTTTCCCAAGTTCATATTAAAACATTCTTGATCTTATTAGCAAAATGTCTCTTTCAAATGCAAGGCTGTGATGCAGTTGTATTATGCTTAGCTCTATATGATGTGCTGCTGATAGAGACAATGGAGACAATCTGTTTCCACGAGAAGCCTTTTGAGTCTATTCTTCACAATATCTGCATGCTGGTCTTTAGCAATAAGCTCCATCATGTTCATGTAAAAAGGGGAGATTAGTGAGGGGAAAAAAAAACATCAAATGGCTTTTAGGCAAAGCGTTTGTCTTCTCAAGAACACAAGAAGTAAGAGCATGACCTGAAGTGGCAGTCCTAAGTGACAGGTCGCTCCATCCCCCCCAGCGACAAATGTGAAGCCACATCACTTCAAATCCCCACTCACATGGCTTTAGGATTTAGGGCTCTTTTATATCCTTCTAAAAGTGACAGTACTTCCTCCAAAAGAGCAGGAATATTGACAGAGCTTTGAAATCCGTCTTTTATAGCGCTACTATTATGCGGGAATTGCCTTCTATATTGCGCTCTTCGAGTACTGCAGTTGCTCTAAGTGGACAGCTAAGCTACATTATTGTGTACTTGGTACAGGTTGAGTTGAGAAAACACAATTGCTTTCTAACATCTATAGTTATTGTGGGATTAAAACAGACGTTCTTTTGCCCAGAATATAAACTCAAGTGGACTTGACGGTCGAGTTTAAAGACTCCCCTGTTGAAATGTTTTGGTAACATGCTAGTCATGATAGTTCAAGCTTCTTAAGAGCTGGTCTAGGAAATCTTATTGTTTAGTAACACAGATGTAAATCGCGACAGTGCCCGTCCACTTTTTCAGCCACCTTGGTTCTGTATTTTTCCCATGTAAAATTTTTGTTTAAGAGTTAAAGGGATAGTTCACCCCAAAATGAAAATTATGCCATTAATTATTCACCCTCATGTCGTTCCAAACATGTAAGACCTTCGTTCATCTTCAGAACACAAATTAAGATATTTTTGATTTTGATTCGCTTTGTGACCCTCTATAGACCTCTATAGGAACTACCACATTCAAGGCCCAGAAAGGTAGTAAGGACATTGTTAAAATGCATCCATGTGACATCAGTGGTTCTACCATAATTTTATGAAGCTACAAGAATACTTATTTGTGGGCAAAGAAAACAAGAATAATGACTTCCGTGTGCATCCGGGTTACAGAAGCATTGATGAACAACTTCACAATTGGTCTGTCTTTATCGTTTGTTTACTTCTGGATCCCAACTATTGCTTTCTATTTTGGTTTTGGTCCATTTCAGCAAGATTTCAAAGGTCACTCACCTCTTGATGGCCACATTGAGCATGCTGACCACTTTTAAAAGCCAAACCCTTGACACTTTGAGATTCATCTCAGTGGCAGACACATGTCCAGTCAAGATGGGGCATCCCTTGCCATCTTGACCTACAGATCTTGCTGTCGCTCCCCAAGGTGATTTGCATTCTCTGAGTCAAGTCACGCCATTGGGAAGATCTGCAACCCTTTGGCCCCTTTTTTATGGCCCCTTCTGCTAAAACACCTATAACACTCTCTGTAAAAGTCAAGCACTTCTGGGTAAAAGAGAGGCATGTACTGTCAAACCACGAAGATAAACCTAGCAAACATGCTTAATTATCCAGCGCTTCTCCACAACGGCTGTGTTCAAAGTGCACATCCGAGGGAGTTTAGGGAGGGAATGAATAAATCTAGCTTCGGTGTAGTACAGAAGTAACAAGTATTGATGAGCTATTCAGAGTGTATTTCCCAAAGGACGGGTAATTGCGCTCCGTGTGCTCTTGTACTTGAGAAACTGCACAGGCTAAAATGAGCTCCTCACGTGACGTCACGTGAAAGGCCCGTGCTGATGAATGTTCATGTCTTCTCTGATCCGGAGTCCGTGTTTGTAAAAGTCACCCTAATACAATCTCGGAGATTGGTCGGAGGGTAAGTGGGAGAGTAATTTGAACATATACACCACTGAAGAGGATCTCACTGGAGGGAGGACGCTCACCATAAGCACCTGTATTCTCGCCGTGCTTTCACTTTCATGCTTTCTAACCACCTTTATGGCGCTTCTTAAATTTCTGTATGCATGCATTTGATTCTAATGAGCGCTGTTGCGGTAATGAAATGAATAGTAGTAGACAGGATGATTCAGCAGTTCTTACGTGAGGGAAGTATGAAACACATTTCCTTATTGCTTGAATTCTGTGTACTCTGCTGATCTTTTATTTTCTCAGTTGCTGCGAGGTGGAAAACTATCTCAAGGACACCTGCTAATCTTGCTTTTGCTTATGTTTTAGTTGTCGGATCTGAGCACATGGGATAATTCCCTCATTACGATTGTTTCCGTGCTTATTTACGACGAAGCAGGCTATTACCGTGCAGAACCTTTTCTGTTCACAATCATTAGGTGCGGGAAAATGAGATTCCTGAATCATTAGACGAGGGAGGATTTTTGTTGAAGGGGCAAGAACAATAGACTGCTTTTGTTAGCACTTCTGTCTGGGTGTAAGAAACCATCACAATTACGCACACCGAAACCGTTGTAATTATGGCGAGAGCATTCGTCTTTTTTCTTCCCATTAAAGCTTCTCCACATATCGCCGAGGAACACTTATAGTCCACTGAACGGGACACATTACTGGAGCTGTTTTTCATCCGGCTTGCCCTGTAAACACTATCTCATTTTGCTGATGGCTTTTCGCTGGTGACAAAATGGCATCTGAAAAAAGTCAGCTAGCAGTCTCGGGTCGTTTTATTGTTCTTTCGCAGTTTCCGTGCGCTTCAGGATGGGTGAACGTAAGAGCGGCGCTCAGGCTAATTGTATTTTAGCCGCCGTAAGTGGTCATTAGTATGCGACTCCATGCTGGCTCTGGAATCAAAGGCCTGACCGTTTCCGGGAGGTGGGCTAGCTGCGCCGTTAACACGTGGTCGGGTTGTTGTTTCCGTCACGGTTGCAAATGAATGGATTGATGCTAATCTACATGGGAAGATAAGAACACAGCTACAATTAAAAACACATTAAAACGGAAAATAATCGCAAGTCCAAAACATTCCAGGCGAGTTCAATAATTACATCAAACAGCGTATTCCCTGTTGGAGGAGTAATTTCTGATTAGCCTTGAACGTAGTTTATGTTAATTTCATTATGTTTGAACATTGTGGGGGAAAAAAAGGCGCAGGAAAAATTCTGGCTTATCTGTGCGATAAGTAACTTTTAATGTTCTCAGTGGGTTTAAAATGAAAAACAAAGAGTGGTTTCTTACAGTAAATCTCAAAGGTAATTTATAATCGGCTAGCGGAGCATATGTAGCACGGGAAGGACAAAAGCTGGAAACGTGCATAAATTGACCAGAGCACTTGTGTTCATAAAGCAGCCAATTTAAATGTAGTGTTCAGCTAATGAGGCCGCTTTCCCGTTTGAGCACCGAGTACTTCCCTCCCTAACTGACCTATTGTTGACAATGTTTGTTTGTTATCTTGCTGTGCTAATGACATCTAATCTCAGTTGTAGGCCTGCTCCTTCTGGACTGTGTGCTTTCATAAAGCTGTCTTTGGCCAGGACGACGGCTCATTCATTCATTTTCCCTGTACTTTTGTTTCCTTCAGACACGACAGAGCATCTGCCATTGTGGTTTCCCAGTTTTTTTGAACTCGTCATCTGAACCTTGACCTTCATCATAACCTTGGTAACCATTTCATCTTTTATTTCTCCCATCATTATTTCCTTGTTATTATAATTTTCCCTGTTATGTTTGTTTTAGTTAGTCATGTGCATCAGTATGACAGCTTGTTTCCACCATGGGATAAAAAAAAAAGTAATTGTGACTTTTTATCTCACAATTCTGACCTTTTTCCAATGGAATTCTGAGTTTATACCACAATCACAATCACATCACAATTCTGACTCTGGTCCTCGCAATTAAGTTTATACCACACAATTCAGATTAATTGTTTTATTTTTTTTTTTAGAAATTGTGTTTATATATCACAATTCTGACTGTTTTATCTCGCTATTTTGAGTTTATATCTCACAATTCTGACATTTTTCTTGCCGTTCTGAAGAAATGTTTGAATTTTTTATTCCGTGTTGGAAACTAGCTTCCATACATCAGTGTTATTTATTTATTTGTCAGTATTTACCCTTTCTCCCTCAATCACATTTAAAGTTATAGAAGGAATGTTATCTTTTCATTTCATTTTTATATATTCTGTTAATTTTTCAGACATATTCTCATTGATAGAATTTGTGAGTTTTTTTTATTGCACTGATACTAGCTATCAGCTGATTAACGAGCCTATATTTTGCATCCCCCAGCCCCCCCTCTCACCTCAATTGGATTATATAGATCACTCATTGATACCCGTGTGAATGTATACGGCAGAGTGGCACTGTAGTAAAAGCTAATGGGAGCGGTTGGACTTTCCTCGTCATGAAGAAATCGTCTCTTCTGTTTAACAGATGACAGATGATTCAACTGCTCCTCTTATAGTTCATTCATTCCTGACCATCTCCCAATCCTCAAACGTCCAGATAACAAACCAGCATCCCACTCGCACTGAGCCGGATGGGTAAACACACACACGCATGGCTGTGACAGCTGACCTTAATAAGCCCTCGTTGGGTCTGACCTCTACATCCAGGCCTGTCCTGTGAATACAATCAGGACAGCGATCCAGACAGCTGTTTTTTATCTGCTCTGTGACGTACATGAGGCCAGCGTGACAGGTGCACTATGATGTGAACAGCTTTCAAGGGCGGCTCGTCACTATGACAGCTTGTGTGTACTCTTTTGTGAGGGTTCAGGAAGCCAGAGAAGGTTCGGTGCAGTAGTTTTGGTGATGCAACACCTTCTTGTCATGACTTGTCTACATTAGTTAAGGAAAATTAAGTGTCAGGCACAGTATAGGCAGGCCACAGTGCTTTAAGCCACGAGCATCTTGTATTATAAACCCACTAATGCCATTCACCATCAAGTTTAATTAAGAACAGTTAATTACAAAATCTAAATCAGTGGAGTCCTAAATTATGCTTTCCGACATTGCTAATTATTGCTAATTATGTTTTATACGCAGTTTATCAGATTTTCTGGTTCTGAATGGACATAGTTTGATATTCAATCAGCAATCAGATGGATTTGGGTAGATTTCTTTATTATTGTATGCTCATGGTTGAATCGGTAAAAAACATTTTGTGGGACGTATTTCATCACAAAATCAAAAGAAAGAAATAAGATAATATTTTGCAAAAATTATGAAAAAGTATTTTATTAGACATTTTTATAAATGTTTGACTATTTATGACAATTAAACATAATTGAACAACTAAATGCAGTATTTAAGTGATTATACGTTTGTTTTACTGAATTTTATGTATTTCCTGTATTAAAAGAAAAACAGTATTGTGTCTCTTTTTTCACTGCAGAACAATCAAAAATATTATATAACAGTAACGTATAATATATATATATATATATATATATATATATATATATATAAACAAAAACAACTTTTTCCACTTTTTTTGTGAAATAACGCATTTTTTCTATAAATTCACACTGATATATTAGAATCAATTAAAGTCATATATTTTTTATTAATCATATGTAAACATGTCCAATACTGACCTATTTTATATGGTAAACCTTGGTAGTCCAGCATTTGGCTAAAGATCCTCGCTGCAGAATAATGCTGCGTGCAGAAAACAACGCAGAAGGCCGCACCATAATATGAGGAGTTGATGTTGAAATGCCTCAGCAGTTTTCAATTTCCGACAACACCTAGAAACAGCCGAGACCCCGAGCCAGCTATTATTTCCCACACAATCATCAGCCCCATACAAACCCTCTCCTGTGACAATTTTCAAAGCCTCTCCAATATCACTGTGCCGTGCACCTACTTACAACTGCCATCAATTAGCTTTGTGTATTAATGTTCCGCTTTGCGGCAACGCTACGACACGGCATAAAGATGCTGTCACTTGAAGGTGCATCGCTCATTTGCGAGATAAGGTAAAACAAATTGCCCCATTGTTTTATGCCGCAGCACCGGTGCTGATAGGTTTCAAATAGAGGTTGTCAATAAGCGAACAGCAGGCGTTTTGAACAATAGATCAGAGAGATTCGTCTAAGCTGCACACAGGGGTCGGATCCTTCCTAATCCACCTCGACCTCTAACGCTTTCCTCACGGACACTCAGTCTTTTGAGGCTGTATTCATATAACCTTGCTGTATGGATAAGCCGTTAGGTCAGACCAACCCGTGTGACTGATGTCCTCTTTTCAATGCATATGTCCCATCGGAGCAGGCCCTCCTGTGTACGCTGCTACAGATAGAGGTCAGATAGTCCTGCTCTGTTCACGATACTATCTGCCTTTTACGTGAGAGGAAGCTCTTTCTGCATCATTGCTCTTTGAGTAGCTCTGGTAAATAGTACACATTGTGTTTGTTCTCTCTCCGGGGGGAGATGGATTTAATAAATCTTTGTGATATACTACTTGTCTTATCATCGGCAAGTACCTCACTCAACCTTTTAGCAGGAAAGGAAAAACATATAAGTAAGCCAGAGTCAATAACAGCACGTCACAAGTGTTTGTCTCTGCGGCGGTAGTAGAGGTTTGTTTGCTCTGACCCTGCTCAGAGACATGCCAAACTATAATACACCTCTCATACACTCAGGTTTAGGTTTAGGACAAGCTGTACCAGTGTGGTGCCGTGTCATGAACAATTCAGTTTGCCCATTGAAGACCCCAAAGCGATCCCATTGGCTAAAATAACTTTAAATGGGTTCTTCATTCAGTGCCTGATTAGAAATTCTACGAAAACTACTTTAACACAAAAGCTTAAAAGTATATTGTGTATTGGATAAAATTATGATATATACAGTGGTGGCCAAAATGATTAGAACACTAGCATTTTCACCAGCTAAAAATGGTTTTAAGTCAGTTATTTCTATATTTTGCTGTAGTGTGTCAATAGGAAATATCAGTGCTGTATCAGGAAATATCAGAAATATCAGTGCTCCACACAGAGTTAAAAAGGTGGGTTTCTTGAAGCATCTTGGAGACGTGGCCACAGTTCTTCTGGATTGAGTCTGTCTCAGTTTGTTCTGTTTCTTCAAGTCATTCAAGTCGACTGAATTGTGAAATTGAAATGTTTCCTCTTGCCATGAATACAGCCACTGGTGCCGACATGGCGTTAAATCATAAATAAATAAATAACAATTAATGGAAAAATGAATGTTTGGAAATGTCAACTGATATTTCCTACTGACACACTACAGCAAAAGAGAAATAACTGACTTAATATAATTCTATTTTTATTTATATGGCCTTTCAAGATCAAAGTCGAGACAAATTGAGACAATCATGCACCTAGCTAGCTAGATAGATAGATAGGCCTTGATATTATATTTTTATGATATATTTATAGTAATTGTAAATAGTTTATAGTATGTTTAATTGATAAAAATAAAATTGATAAAAATTGAAGGAAATATGAAATTCTCATAGATTTGTTTCAAAATTAATGTTTTATTATTATTTAATTTTTTACATAAAATAGTATGTAACCAAAGCTTTTCTTTATTCTCTCTCTCTCTCACTCTCTCTCTTCTTTTTTAACACAAGGCAATTAGCTTGCTAGCTTTGTCTTTATTTTATGCAAATGTTCAGTTACTGTATGTTTTTATTTGCATTGTATGCTTTTGTTTGGTCAGGCATTATAAACGGCTACACCCCGGGGTCCTAGGCAGTCTTGATTCAACGGATGGACCAAATCGTTCATTATACTAGAAACTGAAATTACAGACTTTAATTTCCATGGAGGAAAGCACATTGTAGTGTAGTTTATTTGTTTTGTTTTTACTGCTTGTTTTTAAAATTCAACGCCAAGCATATAATTGTTTAATCAAGTTATGTGACATGATGTATGTATATGCGCAGTCATAACCAGCTTTGTTGGGCACCAAAGCTGGAAGAAATCAAATATTAGCATGAGGTCCCTCGTGATGTGATAAGATCGCCTCTGATGAAGCGACTTCGACTCACTACAGCTCAGCAACATTGCCAAATATAAAATATTTATTTTGTGCTCTGGGAAAAAAAAGAGTGACGGTTGTGAGAAAGTTAGAAATACTGTTCACATCAAAGATGCTCTTTGCTTTTAAAGCTCAAGTAATCTTTACAAATCCGGTCATGTTCAATCACCGCTTTGCACGAAGAAATAATAATGGAAGCTGCCCGAAAAAAGAATCCTTGCTCATTAAACACGGCTTTCTTGACAAAAGACAGCAGAAATCGAGGTTTGATGTAATCCTAAAGCTTGTAGATGACTCTTATGACAGTAAACTTGGCCGTCTGTATCCAACATGTGTTCGTTTCCCCTCAGGCGGTGCGCAGAGATGCCACGTGGCTGTAAGGAATATGTATTTGCATGGGTATCCGTCTCCATGCTTCATGCTGATGCCTCTTGTGAAAATACAGAGTTTCATCAGTTTGCTTTGTCAGACTCCGTTGTAATTCCAAACCAGGTACAGGGAGGAAGGGAGCTTTAAACATTAAATCAATGAGGACTACGGACACCAATCTATGGAAAAAAAGAGGGTGGTGTAAAAAAAATAAAAAATTTGAGGCAGTTGCGCAGGGCCCATCTCATTTAGCTGGAGCTCAGAGGCATGCCAAGATTAATATACCTCACCTATTTGGTTGCATATTGCATATCCCTCCTCGACTCAAGTCTGTCTGGGCTGGCGGGCCCCACAGTAGCACAGATCATTTTTAAAGCGCTTCATTATTTCACCAACCAAGCTCTCTCTCTCTCTACCAGGTCTCTCCATTGATTTAATTAGTGTGCAGAGAGAAACTGTGCATTTGAGATGTTCCATGATCTCCATTATGTATGCTGGAGCATCATTTGGTAATCTGCACCATGTCGGCTTTCTTTATTGGCCGGCGGTGAGGTGGACTCCCGAGGAGCGCGTTGTCTGACGGCCACCGTGACCATGATAAAGTATTGGTGGGCTTTAGAGTCCTCACTTTACATTTTTATTTTATTTATTAATTTGCATGTGTGCGTGTAATACGGTCTGCGTTTCATCAGGACCCGTTAGAGAATCGGACAAATTCAGAGATTCCGAGGACGGACCCTTGAGGAACACCATTGCACAGAGACAGTGATTAATGTGCACGACTTACCTACACTTTATTAATACTTAAGGCAACACTTCATCATGTTTCATCAAAAATTAGCTCACTTGCAGCGATTAGTGCTTTTTTTCACCACAGATAGATTCGTAAGAACAGCTGTGAGCCCGAACACATGTGAGTCCATGGTTTGGTCAAGAGGGGAGGAATGCTGAGCGAGTTTTCCAGGTAGCTAGCAGAGTTTCTGAAAAGAAATGAAATGAGCTAATCAGTTTGTGCCATGCTTAATTTAATCTCCCCGGTGCCATGCTATCGATTTGAGTTTTGACTCTTGATTTGCGAAAAGCAGAAGAATAATGTCATATAGTAATGAGGTCATGTTATTAAACGAGAGCGGTTATTGAAATGTTCTTACAATTTTTTTGTTTTTTTTAAATCAGTGAGATCATATTTTACTAAACTTTCAGGTAGTTAAGGCTGAAAGAGCACACATTGTTAATAAAATAATTTTTCTTCATAGTGTGAGAAATGAATGTTTTTATTCAGCAAGGATGCCTTAAATCGATCAAAAGTGATAGTGAAGACATTATTGTTAAAAAAATCAAATAAATGCTATCCTTTTTAGCTTTCTGTTCATCAAAAAAATCTTGAAAAAAAAACAGAAGTTAAATCAGCATATTAGACTGATTTCTGAAGGATCATGTGACACTGGCACTGAAGATTGGAGTAATGATGCTGAAAATTCAGCTCTGCATCACAGGAATAAATTACTTTTTAAAATCTATTCAAAATTATTTTAAACTAATAATATTTCAACTGTATTACTTTGATCAAATAAATGCAGCCTTGGTGACCCTAAGAGAAAAAATCTAAATACCAATATACCAATTAGG